TATACTTTATGGGGTCGAAAACGTTTCCTTCTGTGTGTGTTACATGCATTTACTTTGTGCACAAATACAACATACCCTATTAACTCTTCGAGTACCGGGTATAAAAAGTAGAGCTCTCAAAATGTAATAAAAAAAAAAATAAAATAAAACAGGCCGCAAGCTTATGGCAGTGTACATACAAAAAATGTTCTGCATGTACATATTTAGACCCATTTTATGGATAATATTTGAGGGGAAAACAATGGGGATTAGCAAAAATGTTTGCTCAGTTTAAAATTAATTTTTCCGTTGAGTAAATTTGTGGCAATTGATTGAAAAGGTCATAAATATTTTATACAACTTAGAACATTTCTTTAATTACTGTTCAAAGTATCCTGGACATTTAGTACAAGATTTCAATGGCAGAAACAAAGAGTCGATAGCAGAAACACAAGCATTCTGATGTAATCTGTAGTATTTCCAAATATTTACTTTACTTTTGGTACTAACATTCATTATTATTTCCAAGCAGTTCTTTCGAAGTCTCCTTTAAAAATTGCCATAAAAACAGAACTCCAGAAAAACATAAAGAAATTATTGTTTTTATTTTTATTTTTTTTGTAATATGTACATATGTACATATTTATGTACTTATGTATGTAATATTGTGTATAAACTCGAGCACACTTTTGTATGGAAAAAGTTTGAAGAACTTTTCCTTCTCCACCGCCGCTCATCGAAAAGGCCACTGTCCCCCACCCCTCACCACTCACCACCCACATCCACATCCAGCCTTGCAAATTGTTGAATAATTGCAGTTGTTCCTGTACTTTGGATCTGGTAGTTGCTGTTGCCTTTGTTGCTGTTGTCGTGTGGCAGCTTTACCATTTTCCACGTCGGCATTGCGTTGTTCTCGCATGCAAATTCCAAAAGTTTTTACTTTTATTTTGTGTTTGCTTTTTATTTATGTTCACCATTATGCACGGTACTCGCGGCGTAAAAGGGTGTACCCTATTCGTATGGATATACATACTCTTGTGTATCGGACACAGGGCACACGAAACACTATGTAAAACAGCCTGCACTTGCAGTCCAAACATGCCCAAATGGTTGTGGTCAATGTGCATAGGTACATACATTTTATTTTGTATTAAGTACATTGTTGTTTTGTCTTATTGCGATATGTACAAACGACGTATTCATTCCCGAATGCAGCTCTCCCCAAAGAGGTGACCGACCGCATCCTTCGAATGGCATTTTCATTTTGGGCAGAGGGCGAAGGTTCCCTGGCATCTTTGGGATTGCTTTCCCATCGGGCACAGGAAATTTCTTGTTCATTTTTAATGTTGTATGAGTGTTGTGCTTGTGTATGCATGTGTGTTTGTGTGTATGTATGTCCATTTTTTATTTGGTATATCGATATGCGATACTATCGCCTGGGTTGTAAAGAATATCACTAGATTGGTACGATAATATTCATATATATTTTTTCCACTGCATCTGCGTTGAGTTCTCAAAATAATTGGATGCCACAAGTCGTCCTGATGAGCAAAACTGTGCAAAGAAGTCGGAGACGCTGATCAAGAATATAATGAATATAATGAAATTGTTTATTTAATTGAATGATTTATTGCCTTGGAACCTAATTATCTCCTGCGCGAACGGATTTTGTTAGGTCGATCTCTGGGCACAGCACCAAATATAGCACAAATTATTTTTTTTCACTACAAATTTGCACCACGAAAGTGGAATTAGATATTTTCTTTTAAATGAAGTCCGTTGGGATATATTGGATTTCGATCTATAACACATTGAGTGGTAACAGAAAACTATCGACTGACCGCATATATCGGTATACAAAGTGCTTTATGTATGTGTTGGATAACGAAGGAATATTACCCACGCTGCCTTTTAAGACCATTTGGACTGAAACTTAATTTGCAAATTAAAAACTGAAAAAGATGTCGACTGATTTTATAAATCGTATGAAGGAAGAACTGAAACAGTTCGAACTAAATCCGATCCCGGGATTTGTCGCCAGTCCGTCCAAGAACAAGGATGGAACCTTAAACTGGAAGATATGGGAATGCGTCGTGCCGGGCCTGAAGTCTACATTGTGGGAGCAAGGGCGCTATCACGTTTGCCTGTACTACAGCGATCGGTATCCACTCTCGCTGCCGCTTGTGCGCTTCAAGTCGTGCACCTTCCATCCGAATATTGGTTCCTTGCTCTTCCTAAAATTGCCCACTGGGATGCTGGACCCGACGTTCTTGAGTGCGAATCTGGACGTCAGCATGATAATGCTCGCTATCCAGCATGTTCTGGCATATCCGGACTTGGATCTGAATTCGCGGCTGAACCCTCTGGCCTTTCATATCTTCATAGTCAATCGGCAGGTCTACGATACTGTCATCAGCGGCCAGGCCAAAATCTACGCTGAGAAAGCGATCTCTCAGCCAACCCCAACCAAAAACAAAAAGAACAACTAAAACTCCTTTGTACAAACGAAACCACACAAAAATATGAAATGTACAAATTAGTGTAAATAAATTCGAGAAGCTGTTTATTTGTCTCTTTGTTTCGTTGCCTCAACTGAGTGTTGCAGCATGGCACACACACACACACACATAGGTGCTGCCACAGATGTGAGCGAGAGGGATAAACAAATGTATCCATGTACATGTGAAACTCCGTTTATTGAACACTGTGATTTTGCTTAAATTTATTTTACTTGTGTGTTCGTTGTAACTTATTGCTTGAAATGGAGTTGCAACAAATAGAGGCCGCAGCAGACCAAAGCGCTTGAGTGAAGTGGCTGAAAATGGTGAAAGTTGAACAATTAAACCTTTGGGCCAAACAGCACTGAACTGGACGAGTCTGGCGGTGGCTGCAGCCTTCTGCTGCACATTCCCACATACATATGTACACGTGTACATGTGTGTGTGCATCCACACGTGTATCCGTAAGCCCATGGACAGGCCAAGTTTTAGTTGAGTGGAAAAACCGAAAACAAATTTGGACTCCATTGAATTTTTATCTCTTGCCTTCTTCTTTATCCGAACTTTCTTCCTCCCCTCCACTCCACTCTCGCTCTCTTCCAATTTGTTGTTGTATTTTGCCCAAATTGAATTGTTAAGCGTGTGGGCGTGTACGCTCTTTCGTCTCTTTCTTTCATTTTTTTTTTTTTTCACTCTGCGCTTTACAGATAATATTATTCGAAAAAAGTTTTTGAGCGTGACTAAGCGCTGAAAATGTTTTGCTGAGCACTTCATTCGCCTTGTCTCTCTCTCTGTCTCTCTGTCTCTGTCATTTTTTTGTTCGACTAGTTTGAAGAGCTGTTTAAAGTCGGTTGGTTGTACAGCGAACTTGTTTATGTATGTATTCTGGTGGAATGTGTGCGTGTGTAGGGGGGGTGGCCAACTTCATGTCTGATGTATTTATGTATAAGCTGTTTATAGGAAGTTATTGCAGACCTGCAAGGCCAGATGTTCCTGCAACTACGCACTTAAGACTGAAACCTTTACTTGTCTTTGTTGGCTCGTAAATTCTGTAGAACTCCTAAATGAAAAACTATAAAAAAGACAAGAGAAACTTAAGCAACTTCCAGCCTATTTTTGATCAAGGTAACTTTTGCCTCCTGCTTTACATGTCAGCCTCCTGTGCTAATTGATTTGAATGCATTTTTAATTATAAAACTTGTTTGTATTTTAGCTTGAAGTGGGGAAATTCCTTGAGCTTAAAGAATCTGAAAATCCCCGAGTTATTCATCAGGTTCATTTAATTAAAGTTCCTTAATGGGGGATTTGGGGCAAAAGCTAATGAAAACTACACACAGAGGACGACCAGGAGAGCCAGTTTCATGGCCCTGCAACGGGTATTACGATATGCAGGAAGCTCTTGCGACACTTTTCCATTGTTTGTAGTACTTATGTTTTTATTGCATCATTTCTTTATGCTATATCAAATATAAATCATAAATATAGCATGGTACATTGGCTTTAGGGTAGGGTACGTAGGTCTTTGGCGTGCATTTAATTTTTCGTTTCTTGGATAGTTGCTGAAATCGAGACAACAGCTTCATGTGAAGCGGGGCAACAACTACACACTGGCAGCAACAGCAACAGCAACAGCAACAGCAACAGCAACAAATGGAAGACCTAGAAGAGCAACAAGGACAATGACATTAAAATATATGGCACAAGGCCCAGGGCCAGGTCGGTGCAAGTAGAAGCTAAATAGATTGTCCTACCAACCCAGACACATGGAGACTCCAGACATGGAGACCTGGAGCAGGTACAGATGTAGGAGGGAGCAAAAGAAGGAGTGAGAAAGATGAGCTGACTGTGGGTTTGCTGCTGATGAGCAGACAATGGGCCAAAAATGCTGAATATGCCTCACAGGTCATCTGGTGACCCCCATCACATCACACGCTCCTCTGCTCTGCTTTCGCCTCTCCTTATTTCAGTTCATCAACCCACTTAAGAGCAGGATAGACGAGCGAGAAGAGGAGCCGTGAACATTGATGTATATCCTCACTCAGGGCTAATTGAATGGAAAGGGCTGGGCTGCTCTATCGCCATCCTGCTGCACCATTCTCTGTGGCAGGGAGGCACATTTCCCTTTTGTCCACTGTTTATTTTGCCTGCCCACCCGGATTTGGTCCACAAAAACCAATTTAGTTGGCACCTGGAAAATTTGATTAGCTAACATCCCATATACATATGTATATGTAGCTGCTGTCCGTGGGCTTTGGATAATAATGCCGTAAATGTTGCATGCCATGCCGTTCGCCATATGCATTTATGCATTTATAATTGCGCAGACAAACGGTTTATCAACCGCCAAATACCCACAGACCCTGCCCCACCACCCACCACCCAGCACCACACATTTCGATATACAGATGTAAATATTTGAAAAATTCATTGAAATTTTTTCAGGCGGCATGTCTGCACAGAGTGTGTGGCATTATAATTTGTGTGTGGCTTTTCATTTTTAATGCCAACCGAGCGAACATTGAAATTGTTTTCGGACAACCAAAATGTGTGTGTTTGTGGGTTGTGAGGTTGGACCAATGCCTGATCCCTTTTGGACCTAAAACCATCTTTAGCCTAAGACTAATCTTAACATTAATTATAAATTAAGGTCGTGTCATTTCCAAGTGCAATAACACTGTGTTCACACCTTTGTTTGTGTCACACCTTCCAACACAGTTGTCAACACTGAACATTGGCAAGCAGAAAGGAGAGGCACCCACCTGGGTGCCGGGGTGGTCTGCGCTACCTGCTCTGCATCCGCACACCATCGATCAGTGCAAGCAACCGACCGCAGCGCGAGTCATTTGTGGGCTGTGCCTCATTTGTTTTGTGGTTTAGTTAATCATCTAGCTTGTGACTCGGGTTCGTAAATGGTGATTATTCCAGCGTGTGCCGCGGACACTTGTCAGCTCCGAGGTGTTCAATGAAACAGAAAAACCTAGTGATACAGCAGAGTGAATTTAAATATTGTTTGTGCATGGCAAATTCCACTAAATACAGACCAGAACAAACGCTCTCCATTGTGTGATCCTTCTGCGAGAAAAAGGAGTAAATAAATCGTTAATATTGGCAATTATGTTCACCTAGTGGTTGGGTTGGGTTGGGTTGGTTTTATTTCAAATCTTCCATCTGCGCTTTAATCAGCAAATGATTGCGTCCCATTTGGTATTCCAATTTGGGTGCCGTCTCACACCAAAGTGAAGAGAAGAAAGAATGTCTGCTGTGCCATTAAATGTAATAGTCATATTTGAATGGGGTTTTCAATCTTTCGCGCATCTCTCTCGCTTTGTGTTTCTCCAAATCAGATTATGCGAACAAACCGCATGCCATCCGCGAATTACATTCGAGGGACATAAAATGAAACATTATTCTTCCTGGCAGAGAGAGAGAGAGAGAGAGAGAGCGCTGCTGTTGGCCGTTTATAAGTCACAGAACAGACCAGTCCAGCGACAACCCTTCACATGGATGTCCAGCAGAAAAAACCCGCTGCCATTTGTCGAATAAGGTTGGGGAGCTCAGTGGGCCTGCTGCTGGAGTGGGTGAGGCTATAAAATACGCGAGCTTTTATTTATAACGACATTAGAAATTAATCTTGCATTATGTGTGCGCGGGTGGAGTTGTGCGCTGGTTCTTCGCTCCGCAACGCCCCCGGCTTATCCTTTTCATGAAGTTTGTCGTACAGGCGCTAACACATACTCGTATTTATTCACCGTTTCATCTTCCATATGCGCACAGGCGACCAAAGTGTCCTTTGTGAAATGGAAAATTGCTGAAAAGAAATGTACATTCGTGGAGCTCAATGCAGTGAGCGCATGGGGAACTTTTACCTGTCGATGTTCGAGACATTTGCTTGTTCCGCAAATCTCTTTTGAAACTTTTGTCGGGTGTGTGCGCTTGCTTGCTGCCTGCCTGCTACCCAGTGTACCGTTTGTCAGACATGCTGTCGGGCATTGTCGCTTCATCTCCATCTTCCAGGTATGTAGATGCTCGCCCCCCGCCCCGGCTGCGTGTCGTACGGCTCCTGGTCCCGGGGTTCTTCATGAAAAATTACAACTCTCAGCATCAGGCATAACGTGCGATAAATTCCAAGAGGCCAGTCCCCTTCCCCTCCTCGTCCACTTCATCAGTATGTACATACATATGTATCCCTGTGTTCAGATGAATTTTGGAAACTGCTGTGCGTGTAGGATAATTCATTGCTTATTATCTTCTTTTTTTTTTTGACGTGCAATTTTTGGGGGCTTACCTTTCCTATTACTTCTGATACTGTGCTCCCTCTATTGTGAGTGTGTGTGTGTGTGTGTGCTGAGGTAGAGTAGAGGTAGATAGCAAAATGCTTTATTAATTTAGTGTGTGCCAGGCCACGACCATCAAGATGGTTGCCCGCAAGCCCACACAGGGCGCCACGGTGCGAGGAGCCGGACTCTGGTGTAGGGAGTGGGTGAAAGCGTGTTAGCCAGACAATCGAGCCTAATGATTTATGAACTAGGCGCTGAGCATAGCTTTGGCCATTGCCGCACACATACACATACACATACACATACATACATGCATTCATACATCTGTAAGTACATTTGTATATAGCCATGGGCATGGGCATCGGCATGGGCTCTTTGCCAATTTTGCCTTTACCTTGGTCTGGTCTCTGGCTTGGCTTCTGGTTTCTGCCTTTGCTGTGGTCGTGCTCTCTGTGGCGGCGTCTTCGCTGGACACCCTGGATGATATATGACGCTGTAGTTTAGCGACTGCTTAAATGAATTTTTCACACTGCAACCATTCCATGCTGTTGACTCCGAACAAAAGTCGCCCAAAGTGCTGGCGGGGCTGACAATTATGGGTAATTTTCTCCACGCTCAAGCCGAAGAGTGGCATATGGCAGATCGGAATATTCATTAAACACACACACACACACACACACACACACACACAAAACACCCGCGATTTCTCAGAAATGTCCAATAGAGATGCAACACAAGCTTTACCTTCTATCGATAGGTTTTCTAGACTGCGTGAGTGCGATATATGTACGTATAATGATTGCTCTTCCAGGGAAGAGCCTGCATGCCTCGCAAGCAATATTAATTGATTTACCATGAAAATGGAATATAAACCGAGAGAAACAGAGAGCCGCTGTTCAACTATCGATAGAGATAGGCTGTGCTGTAAGTGTCGATATTCTGGCAGTGCTGTCAAAGTTGTACTTTGTTTTTTAGTAGAGCACCAGAACACGTAGCAGCACGCGTCGTTCGAGATCAGAATTAAAATTGAAAAGACAATTTGGCACGATAAGAAATATGTCTCAGTTCGCGTTGCATCGTTTGACCCAAGAGTGTGAGGAATGGCGTCAAGCACCAGTTCACGGATTTGCTGCCCATCCCGTACAATCGATTGATGGAACCCTAAATTATATGGTCTGGAATTGCACCATACCTGGGGAGGAGGGGTCGGTGTGGCAGTACGCGCGCTACAATTTGCAGCTCACCTTTGACACTCACTACCCGGCATCGTTGCCGCAGGTGCGCTTCGAGCTGCCCATTTTTCACCCGAATATCAATGCGGGTCGCTACTTGGCCGTGTCAAAGTTCAATCCGGACATTGCCAGTCCCTCGATCAACATCAAAAGAATTCTTTGGGCCGTCCAGATCCGCATGGAAATGCCGGACGTGTCAGACATGTCGAATAAGGTGGCCCACCACATGTTTTGCTACAAGTCTGATGAATATTACAAGAAATTGCGTGAGCAGTCGCTGTGGATTGCTAAGGTATATCCTTCGTTGAAAAAGTTCAAAGATGAAGAAACAGACGAAGAAACAGACGAAGAAACAGATGAAGAAACAGACGAAGAAACATACGAAGAAACATACGAAGAAGATAATGCCATGGAGTAGAAGAGCTGAAAATCAAAGCCAACACACAAATTACACACACACACACACACACAACTGAACACACAGGGGCTGCCATGTAACACATAAATACACAGCTACATAAATGCACATTTCGGTTGCTAGTTGCCCACAGTGGTGGTGCTGTGTCACTCAGTTCATTTTGGTAGCAATTTCGCATTTCTGCAATGTCATCCTGCAGCTGATTGCTGAGTGTCTGACAGCGTTGCAGCTGCTGCTGCAAAAAAGTTTGAGTGGCCGAAAAGAGGGCTTTTGGCCACAGGAAATACATAAATTCGTAAGTGCAAGTATTCGACCAGTTGCCGCCGGGGGAAAACTTTAAGCGCTCGACTGGACGAGAATCGTACGAGGCATTTTCGTCAAATCAAGTGGCCACTTCTGAGCGTCATCATTGGCTTTCAACTTTTGCACATTTAATGCGAGAACATTCACCATGTCGCGCCAGCAATGCGAATGGATGCAGACACGGATGCCTCTCCGTGTATTTCCCTACGCATGCCAAAAATATCAGTTCCATGTTGTTCATCTCTCTCGGGAGGGAGAGCCACCACTTGGGAGTTGTTTCATGTTTTTAAGTTCACTTTAAGTAGCACAAAGTTAGTTTTTATGCTTGACACACGCAAAACTTGGCTATCAGCCGATAAAAGAGCAGCTAAAGGCTTTAAACTTTAAGAACTTGTCATCAACATTCCCCCCCCCCCCCCCGCCCCACCGTCCTGTGTCGCTGCTCCGAGCTGCTTTTAATGAAGCATTCGGCGTGCCAGGAGCCACTGCCACTGGGACCCAGCTAAGTGCCAAGCTGCTAAAATGTATAATGTACATCCTCCATGCATAATAGCTGCACCCCACAGATTCCTTATGGCAAGCCAAACAACGCTCTGAGCAAGTTGCATAGCCAGATAAAAATGTATTCAAGGAACATACGCATATTTCTTGACATACAAGTAATAACTTTACTGAGAGGTTTCCTTGTCTTATGGGTTGCCAATCCAGCGGATGTTTTCTTCGCTCATTCATGGCACTTGGACTGTTCTTTTGTTATTAGCTAATTAGAGAGGCTAAACAGTGCTAACAGCATTAATAAATGCTTCGACCTTCGACCACTTCAATTTCTTGTAATTTATGTTCCACTTTTTGACTGCCATTTTCTACTTTTGCCCCAGCTCAGTCGTCCATTTGTGTCAACACTCTTGTGCTCTTGGCCAACACTAATTAACTGACTTTGAAAAGGTAATTAAGTCACACCCCAGACAATGTCCAGCCCCACTGTCCCACTTGAGTGATTGTGGGCTGGGAATAGATCATTTCACAGGCAAGGGTTTAATCAATCATTGGAGCCATTGGAGAATGCAAAACAAACAGCAGCTGAAACTTGCTCTTACAATTTAGTTGCCTGATGAAAAGTACCTGAAATATTACTGAGTGATCGCAGACATTTTGCATAATTTGTAATCTTTCGCAATGTTGCTCCTTGAGCAGAGGCTCGAGCTGCTTGACATTGGCATCTACGGGCTGTTGCTGTGGGTGTCTGTGGTTGGCTTTTTATGCAGAATTGTGGCTTAAGCCAGTGGCAAGCCAGAAGGCACGCACAGCAGGGGGGAAATCAAATCAAATCAAATCAAATCAAATAAAGCAAAGTTGAGCAGATTCATGGACTCGGCTCAAAGGCAGGACAGCAGCCTAGGCAACAGACACGCCGGAACGGGCAAAAACAATGACAAGATATTCCCAAGATGCAGACATGTGCACTTGGGGCCGAAGCCAAGGAGCTGACAGATTTGTTACACTGCGAAACAGAAACAGAAACAGAAACATTTAAGCATATGGCATTTTTCACTCACAATTTGATTGAGGCACTCGAACCTTGTCTGCGATCTGTCTGGGGAACTCGTGGAATGCATCTCCAGCTGACAAGCGATAAAGCAAAAGTACGTTCAAAAATATCTCTGTGTGAACTAATGAAATCAAATCAATCTCTTTGAGTTGCCCACACAGCAGGTTATGGCCTGGTCGATGGCCTCGCATCCACATTTTGTGGGCCAGTGTGTGGCTGTGCTGGAAACCGAAACTTACCCCAGCTGCTGTAAATACAAATTGGATTATATTGCAGTGCGTGCCAAAAAACAGAAAGACCAAGTCCCAGGTTCAAGGATGTAGGAGTGGGATCAGATTAAGTCGCTGGAATGCGGAACGTGGCCAATATGCTGCTGCTGCTGCTGCTGCTGCTGCTGCTGCTTTGGCCATTGAGGTTTTCTCTGCTGCCAAGGAGCTGGAATTTTTTGCAAGCTGGCAACCCACAACAGTTGGTTGTCCTGGGCGATGGTGTTGCAGATGAAAGGACACAAGGAGGCGGCGGCGGTGGTAACTAATTAAAGTGCGTACACTGCCCCTCGCCCTCAAGCCCGTCCCACATGTATGTGGCTCCAGCAGTGTTCAGTTTTCAGTATCCAGAGATGTGGCCCACTTCAGTTGTTTGGGGGAAATTATGTTTGAAGCAAATTCGTAAACAAGTCTTAATGTGCACCAAAGCGTGTATTTCCAAGGGTGCTGTGCTGCAAGCATAGATGGGTCGGGGAGAGCCCTAAATTGGGGGGACATGGGCATGGGCATGGGCATGGGCATGGGCATGGGCATGGGCCTAACCACCCATCTAATAATGCTGGGCGCCCGCCAGACATGAATTTAGCATTTATCTAGCGCCACTTGAACAACGTCCTCGTCCTCGTCCTCGTGCTCAGCGTTCGGCGTTGGCGTTGGTCCCTACTTCGAGGCTGACAATGAAGATGAAGATGGCGTCGGCGTCGGCACAAAGTTTAAGGGATGCGATGGAGGAGGCGATGTGGTGGATTGGCTGGGTGATTGATGCTGGGTGGTGGTGGCTTGGTGGCTTGGCGGCTTGGCGGCTTGGTGGTTTGAGTTGAGCTAATTTCAACGCCTCTTAAGCGCACAGTGGTTGCGCACAGACAGAGTCTGTCTGTCCGTCTGTCTGTCCGTCTGTCTGTCCGTCTGTCTGCCAGTGTATGGCAAAGTCAAGGAGCGCCGCTGCTGCTGTGGCCCTTAAAGGGAAACTTTAACTTTGATGTAAGCCTCTCCGAATACAGCAGGGAGAATGGTTCTGGGTCAAAGCATTTAAGCTTAAGCTCTAACTTCAACACTTTCTCTCGTTTATTTTTTGGTAGTTCTCGTCCCAATGTGCACATCATTTTGGCTCCATGGACATGTCAACAGATTCTCCACTCCACTCGAGTGG